TTTAAAGATTCAACTATTAAATTAAAAGTTATTAATGTAGATCAAGTTTGTAAAATTTTAAAAATTTTGAAAATTATTTAGTACTTCATTTCTTTAATTCAAATTGACAGATAATTATAAAAATATTTTATACGTTGATTTAAATTAATGAAATGGAGTATTAGTTTTCAAATTTTTTAAGATTTTGCCAATTTCATCTATGCATTAAGAATTTTTAATTTTTAATTCAACGATTAGATCGTTGAAATTTTATGTAAAACATGAGTTGTTGAATGGAGTAAGCCTAAATATACTTACTCTTTGAATAAATAAATCTCTCCTCTTAATATAATATTATAATGATAAATCTTGACTCACATAGTATCCAACATGAACACTAATTCTACCGTAATTACCTTTATTTACCTAAATAATTAAATAAAACCCCTAAAAGTCATTCATATATAAAAAAAAAAATAAAAAAAAAAAAAAGAGACAGTAAACATCGCAATCCAAATAACTATTATAAATTTATAGTTGCTCCCCAGTACCACATCATCAGTGTCATACAAAACACACCTGATGAAAGGAGGACACTGAATGGTGTTCTGCTATTCGCCATGTGTCCCAAACATAACAATATTAGTTATTCCATCCTGTCAAGCCTTACTAGGTGTGCGAAGCAAGTCTCAAAGGTGTAGCTAATTTGTAATTGACCCTAACATTTACAACTTCTGTAACATTAGAGAAGGGCACAACTCAACATTTTCCTCATAAAGGAACTAATTCCTAATTTGATATTAGACACATTGCAATTCAATAAGAATATTAGAAAATCAACACGCGTATCAAGATAATCCCAATCTTATGCCTATATTGTGATAATGAAATGAGCTTTCATAATACTAGGACAAAAGTGTCAAAGTAAGCACAGTTTAATTACCTAAGATCGTTACTATGCACCAGTTTCTGGCTCCCTTTAATTGCAGCTCTTCTGTCTGGAGTCTCATACAGGAGACTACTATCCTCAGGTAAAACCAGATTCCACTTCCGGATAGACGCAATCAAAACCTGGACCATTCTTGTAAAAGGGCTTCCCCGTGGTTTCTGAAACCTGTAGAGAGGTGTGCCTATAAAGAAGCTTATAACAGACAATCCCATAAACAAAGCAGGAATGAATGCCAAATCCAAGACCCCATCCTGCATTGTCTTGAATCCACACAATTAAGCTGCATGCCACAATGGCGCCTAGGTAGATAGAAAAGTAATACCAATTGAAATACGACGCTTTCTTAGTCCTTTCCTTGGAATCTGTATCATCAAATTGATCTGCCCCAAAAGATGGCACACATGCTTTCACACCACCAGTCCCAAACGCAATCACATAGAGACCAAAGTATAACACAAAATATTGTACAGGAGTAGCCGAAGGGCATGAAGAACCCGAACATTCAGCAGGCTTCAATGCTGGTACAGATGCAGCAAGTGTCAAAATACACATCCCCTGCACACAGTAGTCATATCACACATTACAACATGAAAAGACAATTAAACTACAACGCATACATGTAATTAACTATCAATTTAGACACTCTCATGGTAAAGTCATATATAACAATCCATGATTCGATGACAGTCACCACATTCTAATTAATTGCTGATTAAATTCATTAAGTATGTCAATTAGCTGATCCAAATTAAGAGAGAAATGCGTGTGGAAAAACATTTAACTAGGAAAAGAGGGTTATCTAGTCTCATCTCAGCCGATTACAATGAAATAAATTGTAGAGAAAACAGCAATTGTCCAGTATCGACCCCAGTAGCCATCTGCTACAACAGCTCCAATGATAGGTGTGAGATAACAAGTTCCTTGCCAGATGCTGATGTTCCTTGCAGCAGACACGTTCCGTTGATGTAGTTTGGTGGTAAGATAGGTAACAAGATTTGTCCCAATTCCAAAGAAGGCCAACCGTTCACAACACTCATTGCCTGAGATTTATATACATAAAAACGATATAAAGAAAACTAAAATATTATTAATAACACAAGAGAAATACAAAATCCTAAATTTGTTAGCACTAGTGGTTTGGCGAATGGGATTCAATCTCGATCTTAAACATAAAATCGCAATTGAAGATACCATTTTATCATTAAAATGAGCATGGACTAATAATCATTACCCAAAAAACAAAAATTTGTAAAAGCATACCTAGGATAAAAGGACAAGCCCTCCAATTGCCAGTGCCCTTCTTAAGAACAGGCCTGCCTTTAAAGTCCACGGAACCATCTCCCGTGTACCGTTCCCTCTCTTCATCCTTCAGGAATAACAATAAAATAAACAATGACATCTGACAGCAAAGTGGCACTTTTTCTTTACCCCTTTAACGAAATGAAGGAATAAAATAGTGTATTTACGAGTGTCATGTGATGTGATGGCAGAAGTAGCATCATGGGAAGAATACAGAAGATTTGAAAGAAAGAAGGAGAGGAGAGGAACCTGAGCGAAACCCTCTTCCAGAAAATCATGGTTGTTAGAAGCCATGTCTTGGGTTAGAAGGCAGTGTGTGTCTTCTTGCATCTGAAGTGAGAGAGATGGAACAGTGGGTGCAATTTATGATGAGGATTATACGGTGAAAGATTCTGAGTTTCGGATATAATTAGAATAGAATGCGTAGGTGCATAAGATTTCTCGGACTCACACCACCTTGTTCCGTTTTTCAGATTAATCACATTTAACTCGTTTTCTATCTTCAAGGATGTATATGTAATACGTGCAAATTCACCCAACCACAATTTCTTGCGTCTCACTTCCTACTAACTAACCTATAAAAATATTTCAATAGTAATTGTTTTTTATTTTTTAATATTTAAAATAATTTTATGATTATATTTGAATTAATGAAATGATATATTAAATAATTTTTAAATTTTTTAAAAATTTACAAATTTGATCTATACATTAAGAACATTAAATTAAACGATTAGATCATGTAAAACATGAATTATTCCTCTTAAAATAATTATGTTTAGACCAATCATTATCAATTTATGAAAATTATACTTTTAAGTAAAGTGTGATTGAGGATGATAATAATAAAATATAGAATGGGTAATCCTTAAACCGTGTATGAGCGATGCAGTTTTCTGTTTTTTTATAAGTTGGAAGTCCAAATATTTGGCCCAATCTATATGCAGGCATTCCATTCGTTAGATTTCAATCAGTGAGTATCTGCACACTTTAACGTGGCTGTCGAGTGCGGAATATGTTGCCCCATTGTCGGTTCAATGGACAATATTATACAAGAATATTTGCTATTATCCTTTTAGGCTTTCTCTTTTTTTAGTAATTCATTCCGTCACGTCTTTTATTAATAAGTACCTTTCTAAATGTTTATATATATATACAAATGTTATTATAAGTTAAACAGAGTCTCAAAATAATTTAAAGCAAATAAATATATAAAAATAATTAAATTTTATAATTCGAATGATTACAAATAGTAATTAAATGTCTATTTGGATATTATTACTTAAAAAGGACTACTTTTTAATATTCGGAAAAATCAACGAAATTAAAAAAAAATAAAAATATATATACTTTAATAATTAGTAATTGTGTTTAGATTTCCGTTTGGATATTATTATTATTATTTATTATTTATTTTCCCTTCTAAATTTTTTCTTTTATATATTCAAAATTTCAGACACCGTAACATAACTCTTTTCAATAATATCCTAGTCAATTGGTATCTCATTTAATTACTTAAATAAATTCACCACTATATTCTAACTCTTTTTATAAGAAATATTTTTTTGTAAGGAATATTATTTTATCATGATCATTTGTTTAATTAATAGTTTTCTTAAAAAGTATATACTATCTTAAAAAATAAATAATATGAGATGCATGAATATTTTAATTGAGTTAAATAAAATCCTCACAAATCAGTCACTTGGTCCGTTTAGTGTATCGTAGTTGAAGATAACTAATCACATACAACTCATAAATGACAAAATTAATCCTTGCTGGAATTATAAAATTTTGTCTTCATCATTTTTTATTAATAAAATTTTATTAATTGTAAAAATTGGATGCGGGTGTAAAAACTAGAGTGAGTAGATCTCTTTCTTATGTATACTTGAATACAATTGAGCAACTTTAACACTGGATTAAAAATTTGTACTACTAACTTACTTTTACAATGAAAATATCCAAACATTAATTACTTTTCAAAATCAATTTTAACCAATTTTGCAAAATTAATTTTAACCAAAACCAATTTTTTCAACATTCATCCAACACATTCAATTCAAATGTAATATAATACTATAATTATTATAGATAGAACTAACCCCTATTTAAAATGGAGAAGAAAAAAAACAAATCGTATTTTATGAATCACAATTTTTACCTACACTATTCCATTATAATTATTTTTCTACTTTTTTCTTTACTCTTATTGTTATTTTTATAATTATTATTATCTTTGTCACTGATACTAATTATTATTATTGTTATTATTAATTTCAGAATATTACTATCACCATTATAATAAAACTTCACTATCATCATTATTACTATCAAAATCCTTGTTCAAACCTAACATAATTACATCAAATTATTTAGAGAAGTCAAAATAAAACAAAAATTAACTTTTTCTTTATTCTAACTAATTTTAACTTGCGAATTATATTTGCACATGCTAATTATTTGAATAATTCAAGTTTGAACCAATTCTAATTCTACTAAAACTAAAATTAGAATTACAATTTTTTCCCCACTAAAGCCCTTTACAGTAAAAGCTAGCAAAATATATATAACTATTCTCATCCCACAGTTGTGGCTGCTAATTTATATTATTATTTCCATGGTCTAAATCACCATCTATAATGATAAAATTAATAATTCGCTTATTGTTTTTAGTACCTGCAAGACGCATTAGAACTAACAAGATATCCTAATGAACTCAAACCGTAGTGTACAACAGTTGCCAATATCCAGAAACATGACAAATTTATTCTGCTATTTTATCCCCGTAGTTCATTCTCCCACTAATTAACCAAACACTACAATCTGAAACGATGAAGCACATAAAAGGAGTATGGGAGTATCATTGTATCAACCTTTCTATATCAAATGTTACAAATGTAAATGTTGTAATGTATAGAAAGTGAACATTAACTGCTCATATTTAAGCCTAAATGCGTAGCAAGCAATCTCATCATTTTCAGACTTCATGAGAGGGCAGAGACAAGGTTGTTTTGAACAATTCATTACACAGATTTTCCTTTGTAAGTGAAAGAAACGTACACAAATGCAGAACATCTTTATTCCACATACAGAACAATCACAATTCACAACAATGGCATAAGGAAATAGCAGAAAGTCCTCCCAGTGTCCTAATAAATGCCGGGAAAATCTTAAGCAGCCTTCTTCTGCTTGTACCTTTTGGCAGCAACTATGTACACCAACATATTCAAGAAGCTAAGTCCGGCTAAAAGCCAGAAGAAGTAATCAAGATGACCTTCGTTCAAGTTATCTGGAATCCATCCAGGATTTCCACCTTGTGTAGTGAAGTAAGTTACTAAAGTAAGAATAAATGAGCTCAAGTAATTCCCCAGTGAAGTAGTCAGAAGTGACAAAGCACTACATAAACTCCTCATAGCATCTGGAGATTGGTCATAGAAGAATTCAAGCTGCCCAATAAATGTGAATATTTCTGCTGCCCCTAATAAGAAATACTGAGGGACTTGCCAAAATATATTAAGGGGTACAGGAACAGGTTCATCAACAAGGTCATGCTCTTTTGCTAGCTGCAGACGCACGATCTCAACTGTAGCAGCTGCTGACATGCAAAACACTGAAAGAAAAAGACCAATTCCCATTCTTTGCAACTCTGAAAAACCTCTCTCCTTGCCCGTAAATTTCCTTGCTAAGGGAACAATAATCCTGTCATAGACGGGGACCCAGAAAATAACACTTATCACATCAAAACTTGAGAGGGAAGCTGGAGGAATCTTGAAGGAACCCACATCTGTGTTCATCATTGTTCCTTGTTCCACAAACAATGTTGACATCTGGGCATAAACAGCAGCAAAAACAATCCCAGTAGCCCAAATTGGAAACATGCGAATCAAGATTTTCAATTCCTCCACCTGTGTCACAGTGCAAAGTCTCCATTGGTTAGAATAGTCACCACTTTTGCTCTCAGCATCGGACACTACAGCTGCTCTATCAAGACACCTTCATTAAAACAAAAACAAAAAATGGAGTTTTAGAGAAAAAGGAAACCCTGTTGATAATGCGTGTTAAATCTTCTGAAGCAGGTAAGGATACTCGAGCTATTATAAATTATAGAACACAAAAACATATCATTATTAGGATAAAAAGCTAAACATTAAAAATTTAGCAGACGATTTCTCAACTTACTAAAGACTTTCTAAATTAAAATTGGTTATAACTTAACAAGAAACCTATCCACTAATACTCTTATAAAAAGGGAAAAGAGAAGCAAGAAAACAATAAATCTTCCATTACTTAGAAGAAAAACCTTGATAACAGTCTGATAAATTTCACAACCCTCTTTAAAAAAAAATTGATCAAATTAATATTGCAAGTTCATTATTTGATGATATCCATATAAGTCTTATAAGACAAGCATATAAATCTTGTAAAATAATTTCTCACGATCCAGAATAGGAGCCATTAATGAAAAATCTAAAATGTTCACAATAAATGTCTAACATCAGCCGTAAGGCCACAAAATGAGGCCATAATAATTTGATAAGCAACTAATGATCAGTCTTCAACATAAAAATGTATGCTTCCATACAAATTCTTATACTGCAACACTTATTGGGAAAGTGAAATAAAAAGAAGAATAAAAATAAAGGAAATTTGAGATACAAAGAAAAAGAGAAGCATAAAGGAAAGAATAATGTTTTTCCTCTTGGGATCAAAAGAAATCACCATTAGGTGACTGTTTACCAGTGATAGTCTCAACTCAAACATAGTTGTGTCTTGCTCGTATTTGCTGGATAATTCAGAGATGATGGTTTTAGTTACTAGTTAGTCTAAAACTTGCACCTAAAAATATGGAAAATGTGCAGACTCATTGAAATTGTGGATAAGATAATGAATAAATCCATCATATGCATAAAATGAGTGATAGAAGTTTGAAGTTGCCTGTTCTCTCTAAACAGTATTCCAACGTTGATGATTGCTGTCTAGTGAGGGGATGGCAGCTTATAGGTAACCAAAAAGGGAAACAGAGACCTAGAGGGAAAAAAGAGGTGCACCAAGGGTTATAGTGGGGTGTCATTGCTAAATAGTGTTATCCACTCTGTTATGCACTCCATACACCAAAACAAGATTAGTTATCCTATCAGGCCTTATCTTGTGTGATAAACAAGGCCTAAGCACTATAGGTTTAGCTAAGCTGTAACTGGCTACTCAGAGCCTAACATTAACAACCCTTATTTCTATGACATTAAAGCAGGGTTTAAACAAATTAGTATTAACCTTAAACAACCAATTGTGAATTTGGTAGGAAGTCAAACTGCACTTAGACAAGAATATTAGGAATAAGATAACATGCATAAAAAGATGCTCCTTTTCCTGTATTGTGAGTTTGTGAACATGAAAGCTAATAAAAATCCAACAGTTAACATAAAATAATTACGTTAGTTCATCACTATGCTCTAGTTTTCGACTTCCTTCAATTGCAGAGCTCTTATCTGGTGTCTCATATAAGAGACTACTATCCTCAGGGACAACCACGTTCCGCTTCCGGACAGATGCTACCACAACCTGGCACATTCTTGTAATAGGGCTCCCCCCTGGCTTTTGAAACCTGTAAAGGGGTGTGCCTATAAAGAAGCTTCCAATAGCTAATGCCATAAATAAAGCAGGA